AAAATAGAAATGCAGTGTAAGAAGGGGTAAAATCGCGTCTTGCATCACGATAGATGGTCACTTTCGTTCGTATGCCGTATTTTTTTTTTTTTTCTTTTTCTCTTTTTTCTTTTTTCTTTTTACCCAGAGGTGGGCAGAATACTACCACTGGTATAAAAAAATAAAGATGATCGTTAAACGAGCTTCCGCAAAAAATTGCTTTAATAAAAAATTATATCTTTCGAGAGTATGAAATCTCGCAGCTTGGTAACTTTAAGTTAAAGACTTAAGTTGCACTTGTAAGTTTCCTCTAATTTCATTAATCGTCGCCATCGATATTATTTATATTATAAAATTATAGAAATTTGCGTTATCATTATACGCTAGGAAAAAAGGGTATCTATCTTAAGTAAACAATATAGTATTAGTAACAGGAGTCTCCTATGATAACTTACGAATACAAACGGTGAAATTTTTACGATAAAAACAAACGTCGATGTATATAAATGTACATAAAAAGATACGTACAAACGACATTTAAAAAATTCAATTTTCGTCTCCGCTATTATAAATTTCATTCATCCCATCATGATCATTTCATCATCTCTATTTCTTTTTTTTTTCTCTCTCTCTCTTTTTTTCTTTTTTTTTTTTTTTTTTTTTTTTTTTCCTTTCCCTCTTTCGTCTTTTTTTTTTTTTTTTCGAACGATTTTTAACATCTAAGAGACGTTAACTATTTCCCGTAAAAATTTCCACAAATCAAAAGCAGTCAGACTTTCTATTTCTACGTAAAAAACGCATGCAATGTGCCCGCCTCTGGGATGCACTTAGCTCTGTATTTCTACTTTCCGCGCTCTGTTTCGCACTCTCTTTCTCTCTCTCTCTCTCTCTCTCTCTCTCTCTCTCTCTTGCTCACTTTCAATATGCATATATACTCATACACGAAGAAAACACATTCATTCACACACGCAATTTCTCTTTTCCATAATTTTCATTATTTCCTGCCTATCTGTCTTTTGTTATTTCTTTCTTGGGTGTAAAGTTTATCTTTCGTCTCCAAGAGATCTCGTTAAAAAAATAAAAAAATATCTTCTTTCCTCTGTTTTATCGCGATAACTTTCGATCTTGTGAATTCTCGTTTCGTTTATTACTTTTTTCTCTATTTTTCTCTCTCTTTCGTTGTTTCTCTCTCTCTCTCTCTCTCTCTCTTTCTTTCTTGCACTCTTTCTTACTCTCTTTCCTTCTCTCACTTTCACTCAACGCCATTCTCACTCTTTCATTTTCTTTCGTTCGATAAGAACATTGCACGGCTCCCAGCTCCAGCTTATACTGTTTTTATAGCCTTATCACGTTTTACGCTCTAAGTGTCTCCGTTAAACATATACACGTGCATACATTGAACTTATTGTTGTACCGCATTTTTCATTGAACGCATCCAGACTGTTTGTAGCTGCGGGGTGATGTGTATCGAACGATGCAGATCGAACGGATTACACAGTGTGTTTACCTCATACGGTGTACAGATAGCGCTACGATCAACGATTAAACTGCGTAAGATCAGAATAGCGAAAATCACTTTTGACAGGCGAATGAAACGACAGGCTTTAAAATATCATGATACAAGTTCGATGTTTGTTCTCTTTCATCAAAAGAAACGTGTTTCTCGCCTTTTTTTTTTTCTTTTTTTTTTTTTTCCTACTTTTAACGTCAAACACTCTGGTGCTTCTTGATTTTTCGATCTCAGGTCAGACACGCTCTCCGTTACCGATAGAGGGAAGTTGTGTTGCGAAGATATCTCGAAAATCGATCAAAGATAGATCGATCACGATGAAATGGAAATCGATATATTTCGGATATTATATCGTTTTCTCTGACATTTTTCAATGATTCGCGATTACGTTTCTGACTCGAGATCATGATACAATAACACGATATCGAAGCCAACTCGTAACGAGAGTCTATTTAAGTTTATTTCAACAATCTTACTGTGCTTCTCATTACGATCGTGGCTCCGTCTTTCTCCGCGCCAAAAATACATTCAAGATCTATTACGCTTTTTAAACATGCACGTGTCCATGTAAATATCAGATGTACAAATATGTTCAACTGTTCTTTGGTACATGTGGATATATGCGTACATCTACAGTAGACACTCTAATAGTAATAGTGGTAGAAGAAACAGTAGTGATAATAATAGTAATAATAGACGTAGCAATAGAAATAGTAATAGTAATCGTAGCAATAGCAATAGTAATAGTAATAGTAATAGTGATAGTGATAGTAATAGTAATAGTGGTAGTGGTAGTAGTAATAGTAATAATAATAATCATTATCATCGTCGTAATCATAATAATAGTAATAGTAGTAGCAGCATTAGCAGCAATATTAATAATAATAGTAGTAGTAGTAGTAATAATAATAATAATAGTAAAAGTAATGATAATAATCGAATAATAGTAATGACAATAATGATAATTGCAAAAATAACAGCGTCTATATTGATTACGTTTTTTAAAATATTATCAACTAATAGTAATGATCGTAGTGAACATATGTAACAAAAATATAGAAATTTGGAGAACGATGAAATTATGGATCACGATCGCCCTTTTAGGACTTCGAAGAAAAACGGGAAAAAAACGAGAAAAAAAAAAAAAAAAAAAAAAAAGAAAGAAAAAAAATACAAAGGTACGAAAAAAATGATGAATTCGCTCGAAGCAAAATAGCCGAGCAACAGACAACGGAAATATATATTCATTCGTCATCACGAAATTGATTTAGAAATTTCAAAAGTAGAAAATCGTTTGTCCGTGAATTCTTTGCATTTTCCGTTGTCCATTGCTGTCCGTTGACCATCCATTTTACCTGCGAGGTATCGATCGAGCGATTGAAAAAAAAAAAAAAAAAAAAAAAAAGACGCGAGTAAAAAAAAAAACGCGATGAACAGAAGGGCGCAGGGAGAAGCCCGCAAGAACAGACTAAATGAGAAGAATAGATTTGCAAACTTGTCTTTACGAACGCTACTCGTTCGGACGCGGTGTATAGTATACATATGAGGATAAAGATCTCGTAATGTTTAAAAAAATAAAAATCGATTGATAAAATTGTACGTGGAAAACGGTAAATAGAGATAGGATCGCTCTAGCAGGAGCTAACTAGAGGTAGGATCGACTTGGTCGATCGTGTTTCGCGCCTCGTGTCTGGTGTCTCGCGTACGTTTTCAACAACTTCCAACTTCCCGCGTTAATCGTCGTTGGTTCGCTCGTGTTCTCGGGGGTTTTTCACAGAGCGAGCTTCGAAAGCGTGGGCATTTTTTTTTTTTTT